AAATTGCCCAGGGAGGTTGTGGAATCTCCATCTCTGGAGATATTTAAAAGTAGGTTAGATAAATGTCTATCAGGGATGGTCTAGATAATATTGGGTCCTGCCATGAGGGCAGGGGACTGGACTCAATGACCTCTCGAGGTCCCTTCCACTCCTAGTATTCTATGATTCTATTATGTTAGTGGCTGAAAACATCTGTAGACAGAAGATCTGTGCATCTGGGCTCTTTATTCTCATATTACTTTATCAATTAATACTTGCTTTTAACCAACTATTCAGAAATGGACATAGACAAAGTGAACTGAATGCAATAAATACTGCTATTATCAGAATGCTTTGTAGATTCAACAAACATTTACGTAGTTAGACATTTTAATTTTGCCATATGCACAGTTAAATAAGGGAGGAACCATGTTTGCATTCAGCCACAGCTCACAAAGAAGACGACCAAGTTTGTAATTCTCCATAATTTCTCTCTAATAAATCTCAAATATGATTACCTTGTCACAAGCCCCAGACAGTAATCCTGACCCCAGAGAGGGTCAAACAAAAGAACCTTCAGTGACATTAGCCATGCTCAGGGTATGTCAAATTACAGGAATAATTTTACAGTTTTACAAAGTTCCCACTTAGGAAAGACACAAGCATTTATTACCAACACCTATTGAACTAAATGGTTGTATTTTCTCGCAGTAAGTAATTAATAATACCTGAAGTGGTAACATTTAAGCATACAGGCAGTCCCCGGGTTACGTACAAGATAGGGACTATAGGTTTCTTCTTAAGTTGAATTTGTATGTAAGTCGGAACTGGCTCCAGATTCAGCCGCTGCTGCTGAAACTGACCAGGGGCTGACTACAGGAAGCGAACTAAATGGTTGTATTTTCTCGCAGTAAGTAATTAATAATACCTGAAGTGGTAACATTTAAGCATACAGGCAGTCCCCGGGTTACGTACAAGATAGGGACTATAGGTTTCTTCTTAAGTTGAATTTGTATGTAAGTCGGAACTGGCTCCAGATTCAGCCGCTGCTGCTGAAACTGACCAGGGGCTGACTACAGGAAGCTGGAGGCAGAATTGCTCTGCCCCCAGCT